TAGTTTCTTTACGCTCTCATTCTCCCATTCACTCCCACATTCTCTCATTGTCTCATCCCGCATTGACTCATTCTCCCATTGTTCCCTCCCTCCCTCATTTTCTCATTCTCTACTTTTCCGATTCTCTCATTGTCTCATTCTCCTATTGACCACTCGCTCATTTTCTAATTCTCTCATTGTCTCAATTTTCCCATTGACCATTCTCTCATTTCCCGGTTTTCTCATCCCCTCCTCCCCCAACCTCACCCCTCTCTCCATCTCAACCTCTCTCCTCCCATTTTCTTACCCCTGTCTGATATGTCGTTCATTTCTTCAATCCTCGTTTTCATTTCCCATATTCTACCATGTCTTGTTTTCTCAATTAACTTCTATTCTCTTCTTCTTTTTTCCACGTGTGCTGGTGCATCAGGAATGCTTCAGGAAGAGAGTATCAGAATGGAATAATGATTAGAAGGCATAAGTACAAGGGTATATGACCTAAGGGCTGTACTCTATAAGGCACAAACCTATGCAGTCTATACAAACATAACAAAATATGTTTGACACACCCCCTAGACTGCATATGGGCAGGTCCTAACGTGAGTGCAAGCAACTCAGGGTGGCACTACTAGTCCAACCTCTGAGGCAAGGGTCTAAAGACCAGTCAAACGAGTACAGACCCTTGCAAGAGCAAGCCGAGGGCAGTACTACTAATCCAGCCACTGGGAGAGGCCACAAGGCGAATCAAGGGTAAAATTTATATGTAAAGGTCTGTACAAAGTCAAGGCCCTAGCAGGTGAGAGGCTACAGGAACGAGGCCTAGCTGTACACAGTGCCGCTGATGATCTTTAGGCGCAAGCGCCTTCCTAAAGATATCAGCTGTGTTGGTATCAGAGGCCAAGTCTACTATACGCGCCAAGCGACGCTACTGTAGCTCGCGTAGGAGGAAGTACCGCAGCTGGATGTGCTTTGCTCTGCCCTCAAGTCGAGGCTCCTCACACAGGAGGATCATGGCCCTGTTGTCAGCATACAGGGCTGGGGTAGAGCTACTCAATGAGCAAGAAGGTCAGCCAGTGGAGCTCCTGTGCCACCATGGCACCGGCGTAGATCTCGGCCTCACAGCTGGACTGAGCAACAGACGAGGAGGGAGTGGCTCTCCACGAGACAGCACCTGAACCAAGGCTAAAGCAGTAGCCCTGAGAGGACCTAAGGGTCTCAGCGTCGTCTTCCCAAGAAGCGTCTATGTGCCCAATAAGGACCACTGGACTGCGTCCTCCCAGCACTAACCCCATGCCCGATGTACTCGCGAGATAACGCAAAACCCTCTTAGCTGCAGACCAGTGCTGAGGTCGGTGTCTGCCTGTGGCCACAAAGCGAGCCAGGATGCTAAGAGGGTATGCGAGATCTGGGAGAGTGCAAGTCATCAGGTACATGAGGCATCCCACCAGCTCTACGTAAGGACCACTGGGCTCTGCTGACTGCTCAGGAACCAGAGCAGAGAGCCTGTCATCTACTAAAAGAGGTGTGGGCTGTGCGGAGGAGAACTGAAGACCGAACCTCTTAAGGACCTGACGCACCAAGTGGGACTGGGTGAGAATGATGGTGCGCGCTGCTCTATCCCTGGAGATCTGCAGGCCCATGTAGTGGCGCAGCTTTCCTAGGTTTGTGCAAGTGTGTCTCCTCAGCAGCTTTGCCTTCACGAAGGCCAGTGCGGTGGTGTCTGATGTGGCAAAGACCAGATCGTGTACCTAAACAAGGATGTAGAATGGAGTCTGGCCAGAACAAACGAATAGGGAGGGGTCTGCAGAGGACGGACAGAACTGCAGGTCTGCAAGGGCAGCACACACCGGGTCGTGCCACTCGCGGGGTGCCTAGCGCAGGCAGTAGACTGGGCGCCGCAGGAGCCACTGGGTCCCAGGAGGGAAGGTACCAGTGAAACCCTGAGGGCAGCGCAGGTAGGCCTGCTCATGTAGACTGCCCTGAAGAAACGCAGTGGAGAAGTCGAAGGAGTGTAACTCGTAGTCACACTGTGCCGCTACGTGTAGCAGTGCCGAAGAGTAATCACCTTCGGGTTCGGGGTGAAAGTCTGAAAGAAGTCCACCCCCTCACGCTGACTGAAGCCTCTAGCGCGCCTTGAACACAGGCGGCTCTCCAGGAGGGCGCTTCACCTTGAAGAACCAGCAGCCATCAACTACGTTCACCCCAAGTGGGGGAATTGTGTCGACGTAGGTGCTGGTGGATCTCCAAGATGCCATCTCCTGCTCCATGGCAGCTATCCACTAAGAGGCCGAAGGTCCCGAGGTCGCCTCAGTTTAGGTGCGAGAGGTCGGGATGTCGAAAGCGTCTGGGTCACCCTCAGGGACTAGTAGCATGGAACAGAGATGGGGAGCTGCCTCGGATAGGAAAGCAAGTTCGTACTAGCGGTCCTCTAGGACGTCACTGCCGAGGGCAGGAGCACCCCCAACAGCCCGACAGACGGAGGACAGGCAGGGTCAAAGACCAGATCGGTGGCGTAGTCAAG